ATTGAATATCAAAATGTTTTATGTACACCTAAGACTTCATAAATACTAAATGCAAGAATGCATGCAAACTATATTCATCACAGATTTCTCATAAGATATCATTTATTCCCATGCTTCTTTATTTAACAATTCTAATACGATGTTCGCATCATTAATGTGTTGTCAATTAAGAAATTGACGGACAGATTGTTTCATGGCAACGCAAACATGACAATTCAACCTTCAAGAGTAAACAAAGAGAAAAATGCAAATACATGCTGAGATACCGTCATACAAATTGTGTACCTTTTGAAAATAACAGGTCATTATTGAAATTCATAGTATGTCACATAGGACATGGCACGAGTTGTAATTTAACTTTCCGATTATAAAACCTGGTTACAGAAAAAAATGTAAAAAGTTTGGTTAATGTTTTCTTGTAATTGAATATGTAAAAGTCAAATTACATGAATTCGAATTCGTGGACTATCAGAAATATTTACCTGAATATTTAAGTTCAGGTTCCCAGCGTGCCCATGCTTCTAGTACAGGACTGCAACAAACATCCATCTTAATCGGGTACATGTGTTACGTAGCATTTGGAAACAGGAACCAATACTATTTTTTTTTAAATGTAATCATCGTCACTCATGAATTTCATTTCTGAACAGCTATATTCGAGTTCCTGAAATTACTAATATAGAAGGCACTGAGCTATATTTTCTGTAATATAAGTCTCTGTAGAATTTAAGTATATTGAAACTATCTTTACATTAAAATGTAAACAGGTTTTTTATAAAAGGGATAATTATATTGCAGTAGCTTTCTGAGGACATGTATTTTTCTACTCGCAGCGTAGGAAAAATGATATCTCGCTCGACGATATTGATTATCAAACACAGCTCGTAGCAATATACAAAGCCAGGGGGCAATACACAGTTTTCAAGGCTTCTCGGCAAATAACTGACTGTATGCAAGCAGATAGAGGTGTATCAGTTTTATGATACAATTACTAAATTTTATTATTCAATATGGTTTTACGTTGTCAAACATTAATAAACTTTAGAGGATGACAGAATGTCAGATACAGACCTAGGAGATGGAAGAGTTTATATGTATCGTTTATCATATTGAAATTAAAAAAAAAGAACAACAGAAAATAAAACAAATAAAAACAGTTATTAAAAGTAATAAGGGGGTGACTTGTCTTTAGAAATTATGCCATTATACTGACATGAGACATTGCATGTTTTATGTATAAAATATGGTAATATCAAAATTAACAATGAAAAAAAATTGTACACTTGAGTTCCAGTTTTTAAATTGGTCACAATCATTTCTACACAAAGTTATTTACTTTGTATATTTTAAGTGCTGATTTACATATATACAAACAAACAACTATATTAATGAATTAAACACAACAACTGGAGTACCTCGTAGCTTTAATTTACTTACTGCCCAGCAGAGCATAGGAAGAGGAATGATTAGGTCAAGTGTTTTTTTATAACATTAGACATTGATCTTTAATTAGTTCAAATTAATTATTGCCGCTATTGTTGCTGTTCTGTTTTTATGCAGGAATAACTTAACCAACATATACTATATATATATATATATATATATATAAAATATATATATATATATATATATATATATAGAAATGAGAGAATATATACACACATACCTACATATGTGTGTATATATTCTCTCATTTCTATAACAATTTATCTGCACACTTGTATCTTAAGTGATCCCACACAGGGGAAAGTATAACTGTATTGAATTTAATTATCTCCCTTTATATATACTTTATCTGTCTATATTCATTGTATCCTACGGATCTACTTGATCTTACGGGATCCAGTTGACTTTCGGAAATAGATATATATTTCTCTGGTCCCAATCAGTGAAGAAGACAATAAAAATGTCATTGTTGATTTGTGAGACATGATAACAGAGAACAAACTCTATATACGAATGTTGAGCTTGTTTCAATGTGTAGTGCAGTTTGTGACTGTATATAAAGCTGTTCTGAAACCATCATTTTTGTGATGGTGGATTAGCAGTGGCTATGCTTTCATGACTGTTCTGCTAGGCGCTGTGCCGTAATTGGACTGACATCTCGATGTGGTGGTATGTGTGTATATATTCTCTCATTTCTATAACAATTTATCTGCACACTTGTATCTTAAGTGATCTCACGCAGGGGAAAGTATAACTGTATTGAATTTAATTATCTCCCTTTATATATATATATATATATATATATATATATATATATATATATATATATATATATATATATATATATATATATACATATATCTACTTATATACATATTTATCTCACAGCAACGAATTAATGATAATGTCCACATCGAGTTTTCTGGCACATATCCTTGTGTTTTCCATTGTTTTTGTCTTTAAAATTAATGAGAAAATAGCAAATTATACCTATTTGAATAATATAAAAATATAGCAATGTCAATAATTAAAATCACATGCTACAGTGTTCCTTTCTTTCTAAACAATGCACAATCTGAAATTTAATCCAAACAGGGAGTTACACACCTCCTTTTTCATTATTTTAAGTCCTCTCCTGCGTACGCTTTAAATTGAAGAGCTGAATTCCGAGCTAGCTCCATGAATTATAAATTCGAATCTGAGAGGAACTCCTTCAAAATGTATGGGTTAAACACAAATAAAATCATTTTTTCTTAATAATTGAAACACAATACTGGCCACAGAAAATTCAAATATAGCATAGGAGCTCATATATCCAGTTTAATTTCAATTTTTTTTTAATTTGTAAAATTGAAAGCTGTGTACTGCCTCCTCATAAGGCTTCTGCAACATGATATTCCGTGTATATCTAAAGGCACATTAAGCCTTTTATATGAACAAATTTTTCTACCTTAGAATTGTCAAAATTGCGTTCTTTGCTGTTTAAATAATGGATTTAGAGCTAATTAAAGTAGTCTTAAATTTGAAAAACAAAATGTCATAAAGTAGCAAAATGTAAACTAAAAGGGTATTTTGACTTCTATACAAAATACAAATCATTATAACCGCACCAAATCCCAATGTGCAGATTGCGAAAAAGGTAACTTTTTTGGAAAGAAACTGGAACAGTGCACCAAAAATGAAATGTTTTTAAAAATAAAGAAAATATTTATATGTCTTTAAGAAGTTGGTTGCTCATTTTTGTATTTATCAATAACCCTAATCTTTAGAGCTATACGTCCTGAATATAAAACAGTATTATTGTTGTGTTTTGGATCAGTTGTGAGAGAGAGAGAGAGAGAGAGCGAAAATTATGTTACTGTGATTTTCTACCACTCATTTGTACAGGTAGTCGAAACACATACAATGATATTAAATCTCATAAAATGATGATAGGTGTAACCATATAACAGATCATGCACATGTTATTGCATATGTAACTGGTCCGTTAAATTGTATTGTTTTTTGGTGCTGTACCTGTATGTATTGACCTTGTTGTCTTTGTTAGTAGATAGCAATGTGGGGCTTACTCTTTCTTGTTTTATATTTACTCTCATATTTGATACTTAAATGATTTACAAATGTACGTAGGTTATCTTTGTAAGAAATAACATGTAGTTGTCTTCATATGCAAACAAAGCAAAAACTTTATCATTTTGAATGATGTCCGTAAAGTTTTGTGTAAAGTATAGCTTCTACATTCGTGTGAGTACAAAATATATTTGATGAATAAAATAATCCGAATTATCAGTAATTTTCTTGAGTAGCGAGGTTCAAACTCGCAACCCCTGATTATCATTCTGACTACCTGCCTTGGATTACGATTAGATCTTTGATTTCCGTACTAAAATAGACAAGAGGAATCCCAGCACAGCAAAACTGAAAAGCATGACATGATAGCGTAAAAATAGGAAAAAATATAAAAACTTGTTAATTACCGATATATCGTTGTCTTTCAATTCTCTTGACGCAACCAATTCTGAGCCTCCAAGGTGTGACACTAAAGGAAACGAAATAGTGTTATACAAATCCATAATAATTGTTTTATACTATCTTATTGAAACATTTAAACACATTATTTGATTCCTGCTAGTCGACATTGAAAACATAAAATAAACGTAAATGTATTTAAGTCCGTATCATAAACTATGAGCGGGTCGATGTTGTAATTCACTGTTATCAGATTTCATTTTTGTGAATAGATAACAAGGGTTTTCAGAGAAGACGCTCGACTTATATCATGAAAAGTAAGACTCGTATAAATGAGTAAATAGTAAATTCTTTCATTATATCTGTTTATTTTATATCGCAGAAAAATCAAAATATAATAATCAATCCCTCAGGACAGAAAAAGTAATAGTTTAACATGTTTATTTAAAATATGTGGACGCAAACACCGACCCCAAGGGAGTGGGAAAGCTACTTTATTAATTCAAATAGTAAACTAACTGTTTGCATGTAAAGCATTTATCTATTCACTTACATGTAGTTTTATCTGTTCAATCTTTAAACTTATCTGCATTTTACAAGGAAGTTTTATAACCTTTTTATCATTGGAGGAATGCCAATATTTGACAGAAGTATAAAGATTTAAACCAAAACAAAACTTAAGTTCAAAATAAATGTTAACATGCAGTTTACGCTTTAAAACACATAACCACTAAATTCGCTAAAGGGAAAAGATATACACAAAATGCTCCAAATGTAAGATGACAGGTTCTATGTATTTTATTATGAAAAGTGGTATATTGTTTTGAAAATGTCGATCGGTCTGTCGGTATGTCAATCGGTCAGCCGGTTGGTAGAACACTTTGTTTCCGCTCAATAACTAAAGAACCATTTGACTCAAAGCATTTAAACTTGATTGAGTTGAAGACTACCGTTGTTGCGGGCGCTCATGCGTGTTGGTCACCGTCACAATGACTTTCAATCCGCTCAATAACTAGGGAACCACTTTATCAAAAGCCACTTTATCAATGTAATATCTTTTCTATCATTTTGTATATACATATATCAAAATATCTTCTGTGTGATTAAGGGATCATATCTTGATTATTTCTTAACTGCACAGAAAAAGGTGTGAAAACTTCAATCCCTAAATACACAGGTTATTCAATTTTTTATTGATCGTGTTTAATTCATTACTTATTAATTTAATATGATAAAAACTATGATCAATAGTATATTACAAAATTGTGTACAAAAAATCATACGTCCCTTGAATCGTGTGGACGCGATTTTTCGTGTTTTAAGTATGTAATAACTGGACTTATTCGTTTCAGTTGGTGATATTTGGTGTGCAGGAGGCTGCATCTTTACTCCAAAAAAGAGAAAAGTCTAAAGGATTGAGTTAGAAAACGAAGAAAACTAACAGAAAAACAAAAGCAAATTTTCCACCTTATGGTGAAAATGAACAAAATGGCGGACTTACAAACTTTCGTTATTCAAAAACGGATGTGAATGGGTGTGGGACTAAATTCAAAGATACATATTTTTCGGTAAATTATTGTTAAGCTATTGACCCATTATTTTGAATTATGATTGTACTGTCTTCACTACAAAACGTGTTCATGTATCATACTCATAGTGGTCAATATACTGTTTCCCCACCAACACAACTGATGCAGTTTTCTGCGGCTCCTATAAGTGTATAGCGTCTGTTGATGCACCTTTGTGGGTCCAGTAATTTATCAAAAATCAACAACAAATAATAAACGATATCAATTTTATTGAAGTGAAGGTGAATAAAATTGATGCGGTGGAAAAAACTGTTAAACAAATAAGTATAAAATTATGGATTTTAAACAAAAATTAAAAAGTTTAGAGAAAAGGGTTGGTGAGACAGAAGAATCATGTAAATTCTCTTCAGAAATGTTTGAGAGTAAAAAACAGGAAATAAAGTCAACAAAAGACGATTTGAAACAAATTCACGGTCAATGTAGAAAATTGGTTACAGGAACGGCTGAAATAAAAGAAAGATTTGTAAAAATGAACTCAGTAATTGAAGATCTCCAAATGAGACAAATGAAATGTAATTTACTTTTTGTACGGAGTCTCAGAACATATTGATGAGGACTGCAGACAGTTAGTAAAAAGGATTTCATGGAAGACACATTCAAGAAAACAAAGGAGGAAATAGTTAGAGTTTTGATATACTTTGCTTAAATGAAACATGGATATCTGATAAAGATACTTCAAATTTAGACATTGAAGGGTATTTTAGTGAACATTTAAGTGGTAATAAATCAAGAAATGTTACTAAAGATAGATATAGAGGAGGGCTCACTGTTTACTTTAAAAATGTATACAAGAAATACATTCATGTTCTTTAAAAAACAACAATCTGGTATTATCTGGTTAATTATTTCTGGAACATTACTTGATTCTTATGTTGATGCATATATATGTCATACTTATATACCTCCATGTATGTAAATTTACATTAGGTTATATCAAATATTGTGATTTAGGCGGCGATATTTATCTTTTTTAGACTTAAATGGTAGGACAACAGGTGAATTAGTTTATTTTGATAGAGATAGGTATCTGAAATGTATAAGCATTAACAGTTTAAAAGTTTATTTAGCATAATCATACGAATATATACACGTATACTGCATGGGTGGACACTAAATCAAAATGTTTTGCATGTCTTAATTATCGTCCAGTATGTTTTAAATATTGACCCACCTGAATAAAGTTCAGTTTAAAGACTTTTCATTATACTACAAAAATTATGTATGAAAGGTCCTGAATGAGGTATACCAAACATGGTCTTTTTACACCACAACAGTAGATAAAGTCGACACTTTTTACATAAAAATAACTGGAAAATCAGCACCAATTATTTGTTTTACATCTTCTATGTTTCATCAATTTTTTTCATGATATCCTAGTTAGTGTTCTGTGGTCAATACAAGTCTAATTACCTTATTGTAATTCGGTAAAAGAATGTTTTGAGGCAGTTTTTGCCTATGAAAAGTTAAGTTTATTTGAAAAACATTCAACAGTTAATAACAAACTTAAGAAAAATCATTTCATTGTGTCCTGTTCCTATGCAACTAGGTGACAATGTGTTTATTTGTTGAAAAGCTAAGAATTATAAGAATTATATTTATCAATTTTCGGAGTTATCTATGTGTCGGAGTTATCTCCCCGACCAGTATATGCATTTTGTTAATTGCTTTACATATCATATGATATATGAAATGATATGGTACGATATGATATACATTTGACATGAATATATACAAAATAAACTGACTATTACATGTTAAATACTACTGTAATATAAGTAAAATAAACACACGCACACGCACTCACACACGTATATTTTCTGACCCTTATATCTATACCATTAACTCTAGCACTTATAGTGATTATGATGATTAGAATACGTGACAGATATTTCACATTCAATTATCTCTCATAACAACGCAACAGCCGAAATAAACACCAATATTATCGCCGTTTTACTCCATTTACAAAATCTTTCCATAAATTCAAACGTAGCCCCAGCTTTGCCGTGTACAAATACGCCCCGCTTTGAAGTAAGGGAACCAACATATTACCGAATGGCTCCGAACATAGCCGACTGGTTCTCATCTTCAAAACGCAGCGCATTTTGCACACGGCAAAGCTGGGGCCACGGTTGAATTCATGGAAAGATTTTGTAAATGGAGTAAAACGGCGATAATCTTGGTGTTTATTTCGGCTGTTGCGTTGTTTATATTACCGTTGAAGTTAAAAATTGACCATCATCGTAAAGAATTATTTTTTCTGTGTCGATGGACCAAAGGATTATATGAAAATATTGGAAATGGAATAAAATACATGGTGATTATGACGGTAGGGGTGCGGATTTTTTCCGGCGAACATTTTTATCTTGTGTATAATTATAGACGTTGAAATATGATTTTTTTTCAAAACGACTTATATTAAGTTTTTTGACATATAAGATCAGTGCATGTGCTGGGATTGACAAATATGCATTTTATTTGGATTTTAAAGGCGTTTTGAGCTCCACACCCGAAGTGTCTGTGCTCTCAACAGGCTTCATTCTTATTTTTAATGTATACATATTTTCATATTCATTCAGTTTCAATTGTAAACTGTGTTTCTGTTACCACCAAGCTTCAACAAACTCATCCGCACTTGCATCCCAGTACATTTCTCTCTGATTCCAATCATCATCATTATAATCATCATGGTGGTAATCATTATCATGGTTATCACTATAAACATCAGATTCTTCATCGTACGCGCTGTAGTCCACGAAGATGCTTCTTCGTTTCAACTCTTCCTCTTTTCTGATCATTTCAGCTTCCTTTTCCCATGCATCAGGGTCACAATGTGGGCACATAATGTGACATAATGGTTTTGTCCGTTCGACATAAGCACACACTATTGGTTTATAGTAAGGATCTTTCATTCTTTTCAATTTAAGTGTATGCCAATCTTGGAAAGAAGTTTGTTCCTTGCTTTTATAGCTGATACGTGCATATCGCTCGTTCAATTCTACCAAATTATCAGAAATAAATACGTATTTAGAGGCTCCCTGTGAGCAAAATGTCAAGTTTGGACATTGCCTTTCCTCTAAAGTGTAGGCATCTGAATCTTTATTTAATGATAATAACATAAATGACATTCCAGTCACAACGAGAATTTTATCATGCACTGGCAATAAACATTTAACAGATGATTGCTCAAATAGCCCGTATCTTTGCTCCTCATTGATTTGTAGATTAATTTCTGTCATTTTGTTTGTTTGAATATTAAAGCAGTACAAATTTCTCCTCTTTGAATATGTTGTTGTAGACATCAGAATCATTGACTGATTGTAACACACACAGCTTACTTTAAATGATAATGTCATCAACGGTTCAATATTAAGAACCTTTGCATTTTTGCTTACCATATGGTATACTACTGACCCCCGTGTAAATTTGTTTACTTTTCTCTGATACTGTAAACTTACATCATTGTGTTCTCCCGTCGAAATGAATACTAAGCTTGTGTTTGTTTTAAAGATATGGCTTATTTTTTCAGGATACTTTCCCTTCCAGACAATGCGTTTCTCTGTTATGAATCCGTCATTTACGTCATATGTAAATATCCGCCGTTTCAATAGACTGAAGAATAACAGTTTTCCAGTGGATTTCACACATTGGACGCTAGTTGTTTTCATTATTTCATTAGGTAAGTTAAATCTGTACAGTTGTTTGTCTTCAAGATTCAACCCAACAACGTTTGATCCTGTACGATCATCATCGCCCAGGATAAAAACAAACGGCAACGGTGCATCTTGTCTGTCACTTAGATGTTGATTTACTCTTTGCAAACAAGTGATTGACATTCCTACAAGGGAGTCTTTTTTAACAATATAATCGATGTAATATTTGTCCATTTTGTAGAAATCTAAGAACCCAAACCATTTTTCAAAGTAGTTATTACATCTGTTAGCTCTACACCAATTTCTTATAAACCCAAATCTGCTTGTCATCGGCCAGTATGAAAGTTCTTCATCAGTAAGAAGAAGTTCCACAGACTCTGGGTCAATCTTTAGAATATCTGCTTCTTCACATAATTCATTTAAATTTCCTCGAATGTATCGATCCATACGTCCGTGTTGAAAATCATATAAGGCGCAGGCGTGGAGTATCTTGTAAAAGTTGTCTTTTCTGATCACAAGATTTGATATACGTTCTTTACAATAATTATATAGGTCACAAACTTGTAGCATATCTGCTAATCGAATCAATCCAAACAAGTCATCTGGTTTGATCTCTATGCCGCGACCCTTCATATAATTCATGATCATTTTTATTCTTCTTTCGTTGCTGGAGAATGTACCAAGAGCTTGGTCAACTAAAATATAGTATATTGATAGTTACAACAGCAATATTGTAGTATCTAAAGTTTTGTTTTTTTTATTATTAAATTTTCTTTATTATCCAGCTCGTACAAACAATACATTTCATACATTATACAAATTTACAAACATATTAGAAATTGTTTAATTGCAAGAATAAACAAAGGTTACATCAGAAAAAAAACTTTAATAAAAGACTAAGTAGATTTAAACTGATTTATCATGGTTGTAAAGATGGAAAAGTAATCTAGAGCATGATATATGTAATTTTAATTATTTATAGTTATGTTTTCATTAATAGAAAAGAAGCGTTTCATAGTAAGCGTGTAAATAATATTTTATAGACTCCAGCCAGTCGCATATGTTTATGATGTGAATATGCTCCATTTGTTGTTATGGACATCGACCTTATTTTTCATTTCAGCAATGAGTCTTTCTAAACTAAGTTTATATCTAAGATTTAAAAATTCACTGAAGTTTGGTACGGTTTTCTGGTATTTCTTTTTAAATATAAAATATTTATCTAAGAGTAAAATATAGTTAATGCAGTTTGATATCATATTATTTTGAATATTCACATTACACAAACTGACAGTTTAGTATGATACCAACGTTTTGTCTGTAGAATATTTTGATTGTAAAAAATCCTGATTTGACACCAAAATGGTTGAATTTTTGAGCATTCCCAATATAGATGTACATTAGATTCTGGTGCCGAGTTGCAAAGATCGCATAACATTGACTCCACCATATTATATTTAAAGAGTTTTCATTGTTTGGAAAATACGCATAAGATATTTATACTGAAAACTTCGAAGTTTTGTATCAATCGTTATGTTTATGATTTGATAGAATATATTTTTCCATTCAAAGTTGCCTGAGAGTTCAGCTTCCCATTTGTTTTCTTGATGATTGTTTGTTGTTGCTTTCTTTTGAATAAGCATAGTATAAATAAATCGGCAAGTTTTAATTTGAGGTTTTAATTTATCAATTAAGTAGTTATTAGCTTTGTATTGTATCCCTTCAGATTTTAGTTTTATTTTCCATTCTTTTGGTATGCATTTTATGAGTTGATGATAGTTTTAAAAGTTTGATTGGGCTATGCCATAAAGGTTTTGGATTTCGTTAAAGCTATAAAATTGTTTTTTCCTATAATCGTATATATGTTCGATGAAGATTACGCCTTTTTCCATCCATTCACAGAAAACAAAATGGTTTGTTACTTAGTTTTATATTCGCGTTGTTCCATATAATTTCTTTACCAACATCAGTTATTTCTTTATTAAAGTTTGCATACGATCAAGCACTGAGTACGTCTTTTAAAAATGTAGATCTAATATCTAAATTTTCAATATCTTTTATGTTTAGATTACATTTAAATATGAATTGTTTTCCATATCTATTTAACATATTTTCATATACTTTAACCCATTTTGAATGTTGCTGCAATTTAATGCGTTTAACCCAGGAGCATTTTAAGGAATATATAAAACTTTCAACGTCTAACATTTTAAGCCCCCCATGTTGGTAATCTTGAATAATCTTATCTCTTGATATTTTGTCTGGTTTGTTGTCCCATAGAAAGTTAAACATGAGCTTTTTTATTTTATTTATGATTTCTTGGTCTGGGTTATGTAAAACTGTGAGAGGATAAATAAGTTTGGGCATTGCAAAAGTTTTACGAACGGTTATTTTTCCAAAAAGACTTAGTTTCCATCGTTTCCATTTATGCAAACATTGATCGAACTCTTTCAGTTTAGGTGTTAAATTAATATTAAGCATTTCGTCTATGTTATTAGTGAAAGTTATACCGAGCGTGCTAGCTTTTTCAGATGTCCATTTAAAATTGTTGTCATTGCAGAAATTGATATGAGTATTTCTTAAACTTCCAAGTTTTAAAACAGTACATTTATCTTTATTCAATTTAAGGCCTGATATATTTGAAAAATTTTTTAGTGTTGAAATAAGTGTTAGAAACGATCTTTTTTCTCCATCAGTTATAAAACATGCATCATCGGCAAAAAGTGTTTGTTTTAGTTCAATGTTTCCTATCTTAATGCCTTTAATATCTTTATTTTTGGTAACTTCATTTGAGAGTAATTCTATACAAATAATAAATAGGTAAGGAGATAAAGGGCACCCTTGTCGCACGCCTTTTTCTATTTTAAAGAAACTGGATAGATGACCATTATTATGTATACACGATTTAGCATCTTTATAAAAAAGGCCAACCCAATTTATAATATGTTGAGGAAATTTAAATTTCAATAAGCATTTTTTCATAAAGTTATGGTCAAGACTATCAAAAGCTTTATTAAAATCAGAAAAAAATATTAACCCTTTTTCATTTAAATTATTAATATATTCGATTGTCTCTTGTAAAATTCTAACATTTTCCCCAATATATCTACCTTTGATAAAGCCTGTTTGCTCTGAACTGATAATATTTGGAAGTTTGGTTTTTATTTTATTTGCAATTGCTTTTGTCGCAATTTTGTAATCTACATTTAGTAAAGAGATCGGACGCCAATTATTTATTGATAACGTGTCTTTGTCTTTCTTTGGAAGAAGAGTAATAATACTTTGTTTTTGAAGTTCCGTAAGATTTCCGTTATCATAAGAGTAGTTTAGAGAACTAATAAGATATTGTTTTAGATCATTCCAAAATATTTTGTAAAAATCAGCAGTTATACCGTCACTTCCAGGACTTTTGTTGTTTTTCATGTCTTTAAGAGCAATTCCGCATTCGTATTCTGTAAGATGACCATTTTCTACATATTCATTATTTTGTTCTAAAGTATTTATTTCATTTGCGAAAAAGATAGAATCTTCGCAATCTTCTATTTGTAAGTCTTTTTTATATAAACGTTCATAAAAATCTTTAATCTTAGTCAAAATTTTGTTTTGATTCGTTTCAATGTTATTTCTATTATCTTTTAGTTGGCTAATTATTTTTTGTTCAGCATTTTTCTTTTCAAGGTTAGCAAAATACTTTGTGTTTTTCTCTGACCCTTCCACCCATTCAGCTTTGCTTCTTAGCAAGATACCTTTAATTCTTTTGTCAATAAGATCATTAAGTTTTGCTTTTTCAGATTTAAGATTTTCTATTAAAATATTATTACTTGTATTTAACTCAATTTCTTTTTCCAGATCCCTAATTTTAGAATTAATTTCATGCTCATTTCTAAGATCATTTTTCTTTTTAATGCTAGCGTATTTGATAGTTTCATCTCTTATTCTGCCCTTAATTATTTCCCATAATACGTTTGGATTGGCTTGGTCATTAAATGACACTATTTCTTGTATTGATGATTTTATTTTATTTTGATAATCAGTGTCTAAAAGTAACGAATTGTTAAGTTTAAAGTATCCTGGGCCCTTTTTACATTGAATAAACTTTAGATGCATAATCACAATAGAATGATCTGATTTATAACCAGTTTTTATTTGGAAGTCTGTTACTGAATTGAGAGCATAAGTGGAAAAAAGAAAATAGTCGAGTCTGCAGAAAATTGGTGGGTTATTATGAGAGTGCCAAGTAAAAAGTTTTCGTTCTGGATTAAGTAGTCTAAAAACATCACAAAGATCAAATGTATCAATTAGTTCATTAACCTTTTTAGAAGTTCGTTTATTTGTATCACTTTTACCGTTTAGTTTGTCTAAAGAATGATTAATAACAGTATTAAAATCACCGCCAACTAGTAGTATTTCGTCACTAAATTTATCAAGATTGGTTTCTAATATATTGAAAAAATTGATATCGTCGTTATTTGGAGCATAAACGTTGAATATATTTATTACCTTTTCCTCAATTTCTAGTTTAATTCGTTGCATTCTGCCCACAATAATTTCTTGATATTCTAAAATTTTACAATTACAAGACGTATTAATAAAGATACCGACGCCTAAGCTGTTTGTACTATTTCCGCTTAAGTAAGATTTTCCGTTCCACTTTGCCGACCAATTTTCTGTATCATCAGTGTTTGAGTTATAATGAATTTCTTGCAATAACGCTATTGAAATTTTTTGTTGGTTAAGCCAACACAGAACACGGTCACGCTTGTTTGTCGATGCTAAACCTTTTACATTAAAAGTACATATTTCAGTTGAAGACATATTATATTGACTAAAGATTCATTTGTAAGTTTGTGTTTACCGACTGGAGTCTATAATGTTCATTTTTTAATGATTTTATCATCAACATTTTATATATCATGCTTAGATGTATAAACAGTAGATAGAAATACATAAGTAAAGAGATTATATTGAAATACCGTTTGTTCTTTTACATGAATGGCAAAAAGTTAATAAGTACGATTTTCCTTAAGTTCAATAGTTAGCTTCAGCGGTAAAATGTATTAATAAATTTATTCATGGATGCTTTATTCGTATACACAATATTTTCTTTTCTAATTTTAACATTCATCTTTAAAAAAAAAATAATAAAGCGATCAAAACTTGACAAAACAAAGAAAAAAACAAATAACACACAAAATCAAAAAAAGTCTATCAAAAAAGTATAGTATGTCTATATAGAAACATGTATTCAATATGTCGAAGAAGTTGTAGCAGTTTACATATATTTGTTTTAATCTTCATGGTTACGAATTTACATTACAACAATGTATTTGTTTTAAAGACATACTTGACGAGTTGTCTTACACGGGACAGTATTTTAGTAAAATAAAGGGAAAAAAATATATGAGCCAAAATTTGGTTAAGGTAATCAAATTGTTTCAACTGCTTGCCTCATTACTATATCATTTTCCACAAGACAACTTTATGAAGAGATGTTAAATATATCAAATAAATATTTATATCGGAAAGAAAATATGCATTTACATGACTTCTAATATACAATATAAGTAAATAGTTACTTTTTGTATCTTGTTTAAAACAAGTATGTTTCTTTATCTGCAGAAAAGTATACATGTGTAGTTGTGTACATATAAACATCTTAAAATACACGAGAAAAACTTGTGTCATACACATACATCTAAATATTGTAAACAAAATATAGTTCAAGTACTGTATATTTCTTCTTCACTTAAGACATGTGAGTGAATTTATAAAGTGATTATTTCCATTTGTACTGCTCTTTTCCGAAATCTAAAGTTTGTCATAGAGAAAGTATTCCATTTTCAATATTTCCGAGCTGGTATCCGGGCGGTGAATCTATTATTCTACCGATGTAACCTCTGTGTAAATTGAATATCAAAAATGTTTATGTACACCTAAGACTTCTTATTACATTAACCAGGTACGTATATTAACGGTATCCGCAACTCTATACAGTAAATCAATAACAGTAAATTATGCTGTCGTGGCAGATAATCCATCCAGACTGCCGATCGTTATTGATTTTTATCGACGATTACATATCAATAAGCGGTGTGATATTTGACCTTGGTTATTTAGATTACCGTCAACATGTTATTTTCTGTTCAATTTTTTAAAAGTAACATATTCTAGAAAGCTGAAAGATAGAATTTTTCAAATATATATTTTATAACTCAGTGCGTTTAGTATGAAGAAAATTACGACGAGTTAAACACAGAGTTTTGTTTTTTTGTCTCCCGATTATGTCAAAACTTCAGTAAAAATAATGATGCCCTCTTCGAACAAATATAAGATTTTTTCGTCATTTATGGTCCGAATTTAGCAAAGTACCTATCAAAAGAAAGCTGAGAATTTGATCCTTTTAACCGTGTAATTATCATATACAAAGCTAAATTATTTCCGGAATTGTAACGAGTAAAAAACGCAACTTTTACTACCAGCCAAATCGCGACTGCACACGAAAGAAATTTTATATACATATAGTAACAAGTAATTATTGTTTTGTCATTTTTTTGCCGAAATTTGTGAAAAATTATTTATAAAAAGCTTATAAACTGTAGTTTTAAATTTTTTATTTTTCAATTTCTATTTCGTATCTTAAATAATTATATGCGGATAAGATATCGTGAAGAATCACATGGCCAATATCATCTTGCATATTTCGAACGCAAATTTTACCATATATTTAACTTATTAAGCCCTTTATATTTTTTATTTGAAGATTGTTTTAAAGAATGAAGTTATCTATCTATCTATTTTTAAAATTGAATAAAAGTATGATTATATAATTTTCAAAAGAATGCATTCAAACTATATTCATCACATATTTCTCTTATGATATCATTTCCATGCTTCTCTATGTATTTAACATCCGTAATACGATGTTCGCATCATTAACATGAAGCAACATCTTTTAGCGTTTGTAATTAAGAAATTGACAGGCAGATTGTTTCGTAGCAATGCAAACATGACAATTCAACCTTCAAAAGTAAACAAAAACAAGAAAAATGCAAATACTTCCTGAAAGTAACGTCATAGAAATTTATTTTGTACATTGTGAAAATGAGTGTCCGTTATTAAAGCCTCTAAATCTAATTCATAATTTGTATTTTGCCGCATGGCATGCGTTGTAATCTTATATTTATTTTCCAATTAATCTTTTATGAAACTGGTTTCAGAAGAATTGTATACAGTTTACTAGAAGATCCCTGAATGTTTTATAGTAAACCAATATTTAAAAAAAAACACGAAAAGTTTCATGAATTCAGTTCTTGCATGAAAGGGTACATAAGTCCTCCAAGAACTTATACACTATCGACAACATAAAGTTGACTATCTGAAATATTTACCTGAATACTTAAGTTCAGGTTCCCAGCGTGCCCATGCTTCTAGTACAGGACTGCAACAAACAATATTCTCCCAGTCCTTGTTTTCGTCCTGTAATTGATAAATGTATTTAAATAAATCAGACAATCCACATAATGAAACCGCATAGTGTGACGCGATTATGTTTACTTGGTGGATATATTCTGAAGTTGGAAACAGAAAAATGTGACAGTTATATATATTTACAGCAAACGCACGAACTGTTAACTAAACACATGTATGATTACCATTATGTTGAGTGAACATTAACACAATTAAAAAGTTTGTTATTTGCTAAAATTTAACATGCTTCAGGGAACTATATATATGCATATAATTGTATGTTTTATATGCTTGTAATAAATATTCAAATTGTATCATTTTGGTATCAACAACGATCAATTTATTGGAAGAAAATAAAACAAGAAACAAACAAACTCTGACACAATAAAAAGTATCACAATATCCTGTTGATGATACTGATGTTTCAGAAACAGTGGTTTGAGAAAATCATTTCTGGAAAAAAAATAAACTTATTATTTAGATTTTTTCAAAACATTAAACATTTCCGGAAACAAAGTCAAGGCTTTTATGTAAGGAAGCGTTCTGTTTTAGTTTTGTGTTTTGTCGTAAGATGAATTTGAAATTGTACAAATCAGTAAAATGTATAGTATGTAGAAAATGACTTAAAAGATAGTATTAAGCTACTTAAAGTATAAATAATCGTCGTGTAAAATTTGCATAATATGTCATAGCGTCATTTTCTAGACGCAAACCTATGAATATATTGCATTTATTTACGGATAAAACGTTCAAAATAACAACATATTGTTTGTAGTAAAAAGATATAACAAATGTATTTTATAGTGGCTGATTTATTTGATGTTATTTGATGTATTTTTGCTCCGCGGGACGCCAGACGAACACACGAAAATACGACAATGTGGCCACTTTCTCGTGCTTACGCACCGCGGAAGCACGAAAATACCACAAAGTAACCACTTCGTATTTTCGTATTTATGCGATGGCATAAATCAGCCAACATAGTATTTGCGTTTGATGTACTTCTTAAGGTACATTAAGTCTTAGCTAGATATGATTTTTTTATCTTTTTATTAGAATTGTCAAAATTTGCATTACTTTTTGTTCAAACAATGGATTTAGAACTTGTTCATAATGTGACGAAAGTAGTACCAACCCAGCAGGCACATCAACGTTGTTTCAACGTTGAATTATGGTCAGATTTCAACGTTGAAATAAGTTTGGATTTATATTCGGATTTGAAAGTTGAAACAACGTTGAAATTTCAACGTTGATACAACGTTGCAGCTTCAACGTTGACACAACGTTGAAGTTTCAATGTCATTTCAACGTTGAAAACCCACCATACTTTAATTTTTGGATATAAAGCCACCATACTTTAATTTTTGGATATAAAGCAAAGTAACCAAGTTTAACAAAGTATCAAGACAATATTAAATACTTCAGATATTTTATTTCAAAAATACAGTTCAAGTGCAGCTTAAATTCACTTTAATAGTTTTAACAATTAAGCTACAATCTGTTCCAATCTTTTCTTCTAGATCTTTCTGGGTATGTCAAGTGTTTGAGTACTTCTTTGGCTGTCTCTTACTGCTTCTGCAAATAAAAATAAGAAGTCTGTAGTTAAAAGTGACTTGGTCAATCTAAAATTATACATATAATTACTCAGCTTAGTGATTTGTCTTTATCTTAAAATGCTTTTCTCTAAGATTTACATCATAAAACAGCATAGAAATTGAAACATAGCAAATACTGTATATAAGACAACAAAATCTTTTTAAAAAGAAGCTATTTAAAAGTCTCACCTATGATTGGTAAGAAAAACTGCTCCCCGTCAGTTCCTTGCAGCATATTCCCAAGAAATTAACATTCTAGGCTCTAGCTAAGACCATTTTAGGCAGCATCCTGAAATCAACAAACATGTAAATTTTATATTAATAATGTTACAGGAATATTCCGAAAAAAATATATTTTAAGACAAGATAAATATCCAATAGTTGAAAAATTTATACTTTGTATAGTAAAGAAATTCAAATATATAAATTAATAAGAATAAATTTCAATTTAACAAACCTGACAGTCCTTTTCATGTTGAATGTATGGTGTCAAGGCTACAGGTGCAATACTATAAATTTCAGCCAGGACAAGGATCTAGAATATAAAATAATATATAATAAAATAGAAATAGATTTATTATTCCCCTTAAATTTACGACTATTAAACTTTAAAGTTTAACACTCAAATTTGTTATTTAACTTAACAATAATCATTATAATGTGTTTTTATCAAACTAATTAACACTGTATTATACTATCAATAAAATATAAACATAGTTATATATATTGACGAATCGTCTTGGGACGTAAATTAAGTGGGCCGAACTACTTTCTATAGGTTTCAATTTTAAAATTGATTAAATTCTAAATAGAATATAGTACAGACAAATGTTTAATAATATGAAAAATAAATTAAAGAAAGACAAGATTTGTTAAATCATAAATTGCCAAGGACATCAATAACTTCATGCTTACAAGGCCTACCGAACCCAAATCATTCAATTAGGTCGCGAAAACGTGTCAAATAAACTCAATCATGTGTTTATATCTCTTATTTATTTCATAAAATTATACTTTATATAGTGGAACAGTATAAAGTGATTTATGTTTGTACAGTTTCATCTTATTTTACATCTTAGCACATTTAAGGCATTTCTGGTGTTTAAACACTTTTCGGTGTAATTCTATCTTTCGGATCATAGAAAATTTTTCACCACTAGGTGTCGCACGCAAAATTGTTATCTGAAAATTGTTTCACTCTATTTTATATTTTATTTATTGCTCGTCAACAGTTATTCTCAATAATTATTTATTTGGGGAAGCTTATTTAATCTACCACGTAGTCGCAAATAGCTTCTGGTTAAAAAGCAGTTAGTTTTCTCGGCGACACTGTCACAGCATCAACGACGAGCGTGAGTGACCTACTTAGGACAGCGTGGATAGCGTGGGTTTGTTACATAATTTGTATCGTTCCTTTTCATTAATCTCTTTGTTTGAGAATAGTTATGAATGTTTTGTTACTGGGCCACTCTTTTACAAAGCGCCTCCAGAGATGGTGTGGTACGAAATGTTTGTTGAATTTGAATTTAGATTCGGACCGCGTGCAAGTTTATTGGCATGGAGTGGGCGGAGCTTATGTCGCGTCAAAGTCTAAAGCGAAATCAATTTGGTGCGATGTTTATTTGGTAGATGAATTGGAGATAAACTGCACAGTTGTAGATATTGGAAGTAATGATTTATGCATTCCAAATTTGCAGCCAAATCAGTTGGTGGATAGCATTATCAGTTTATGTTCAAATATATTTAGTCGTGGTAGTCAAGTTGTTGTCATCTATGAAATTTTACATAGAGCTGGTGACCATGTATATAATGCCAAGGCTGACACAACAAATCAGTTATTGAAATCATATTGTGAAGACAAGCCTTCCCTAATATTTTTGGACTCACAAACGGAACAACTTCAACCGTCGTTTTTATTAGGGATTATGTTGCAAATGATGGTGTTCATGTTGACAACCAAAAGGGCATGCCTCGTTACTATGCTTCAGTTAGAGGCTCCATTTTATTGGCTGAAAAATGTTTATCACAATAAATTTCCTGTCTTCACATGTGTATATATTTATATATATTTGTATATGTATTTCTTTTACATGTTCTTTTCATACATTGTGTTTCAGATTATATACACTCAATTTGACAAAACAGTGAATGAGTGATAGTTGTGTGGGACATTTATTTCATGCAAAGATTTGATTTGGTATAACTAACATTAAAAGATTTGCCATAGATAAGTAAGTGATAATTCAATTTGCCTTTCATTGTTGCATTATTTATGAATTGTGTTGCCATACAATTCTCATCTATTCTGTTTAGTTTTGGACCATTATCCTAATAAGGTCCCTGTTAACAACATTTAGTGCCCTGAGTTGGCATTGTTAATTTTTTATACCGACACATCCACCAGTTGATACCCAGGATATTCGTTGTATGGTTGACCATTTGAACATGGTTTGCTCCCTGTTTATACATTCTGCTAGTCAGATATTTACACGTGCGTGTGTTTGTTTGGGGATGCACAATTATACCATACTATTTACATTATTTATTTAATTTTATCACCTGCGTGTGAATTTTTCCGGGTAACACTGGTTGGATACTTTTCTACAAGTACACTTTTACCACTGGTTTAACAATTGGTTCCAGTTGGTTATATTCACTTATTGTACATGTAGACTATTCTTATACCATATCAAAGTGGGAATATCCCAGCATATTCCCACCTATAATTAATTCTTGTAAGACATTACATTTCAGAATGCCCAAAGTCGCACCAAACAAAGCCAAATCTGGCAAGAAGCAGAAGAAAAATGGTAGCAGCAAGTTGGCACAACTCATCGCCACTGCCATCAGCAAGGATGAGGAAGTGCTCAAGGAAATTGTGGATTTACTGCCTACCACGGATAAAGATGACGGTACGGCCAATTATGAAATTGAACCAGACCAGGATGTCCAATCCATGTCCACTAACCATGACCAAATGGACACTAGTGAGGATGGTGTTAGTTTAAGCACCATAGATTCTGGACCTGTTCCCCTCGATTTAAGTAACAACTCGGTGGATCTAGGATCTTTTAGTCTAGTCCATCCGCCTATAGACTCAAAACTAAGGCAGCAGATATGGAATCGGGAATTTTGTAGATCTGGGGGTTCTTTATTTTAGAGAAAAAAAACATATCAAAAACCCACCACTATCCAGGAATCTGGAAATAGAACGGTCACCTCTATTCAGGAGGGGTCCAAGAAACAAATAAGCACTATACTAACTTGGTCTAGAGCCTTTCAACAATACGCCGATGTGTATTGTTGCAAGTACCCTTTGGAGAGTAGCCAACTCTTCCAATATATGTCTATTATTCAAAAAATGGCCCAATCTACTGATTAACTGGTTGCTGTACGACACTAAGTTTAGGCAGCTAAGGGCAACCAACCCTCAACCATGGGGGATAATCCATACTGAAACATTCCTTTTTTGCTCAATTGACAAGCCAGCCAATCACAAAAGTCCAAAACAACAACCATTTTTCCTTTCGGAAATACCTCCCGCCCCACATCTTTCAAAGAAAAGGTTATTGTTGGGAATTTCAAAAAAGATCCTCTTGCCTCAAAAAAGTCCTGTTCTGTCAGTCACAAATGTGCAAACTGTGAAGGACAGCATGCAGCCATCTCCTGCCACCTTGATTTTAAGAAATTCAAACAACCCATCAAAACAGGTGACAACACAGCCAAGTAATAAGGGCTTTAAGGTATCAACCCCTATAAATGTATCCTCCCCTACAACAATATCTTGATGGTTATTATCTCAAACAATCGGTAATTGATGGTTTTACTTACGGCTTTAGTTTAGGTACTGTCGGTTATGTCCCGGCATTGTCAGCCAACAACCACCGCTCTGTTAGCACTCACCTTGATTTTGTTCGCACAAGCTATCCTCTGAGATTTTGAAGCAAAATATTAAAAGGGCCTTTCAAGACTAAACCATTCCATGACTTAGTTTGCTCCCCTTTAGGTGTTGTCCCTAAGAAAGACCCTAACTCCTTTCGACTCATACATGATCTATCTTACCCCTCATGGGGATCCTCAGTTAACTCATTTTATTCCCAAAGATAATTCAGAGGTTTGTTTAGAACTATTTGATGATGTAGCTAAAATTGGTCCTATCTTCGGGTTACAATTGTGAAATTGCTAAGGCTGATATTGAAAGATGCATACAGAGTTATCCCTATGTCTCCTTTAGATTTCAGGAAATTGGGGTTTTCATTTGACAATAAATTTTATTTTGATACAGCACTACCTATGGGAGCTTCTTCCTCGGTAGCTATATTTTGAAAAAATTTTCATGTTCTTTACAGTGGATTTTGAAAACAAAATGTGAAGTACAAAAAGTATCACACATTATAGACGATTTCATTTTTGTGGGTTCTGCTGATACTGGGGAATGTTTTAAACTCATTGAATAAATTCATGTCACTGGCAAAAGACTTGAATTTACCAATCAAACATTGCTAAAAACGGTGTATTACCTTTTCTACCTGTGTAGAAGTACATGGTAATTGATTGATTGATACCAAAGTTCCTGATAGTCAAACACTTCCTTCAGAACAAAGTTCAAAAGCCCTAAGATCCTTACTTACATGTTAACATAACAGGAAACAAAAGAAGTTTACTTCTTTAAGGGAATTGCACAGATTCATTAAATTTAAAGAGTTCAATTTTAAACTTTGCTTGTTTGTTATGAAGTCAATTAAAACCTGGGTTAGTTTGTTTTCTTAACGACGTTGTCTTATATGATAAAAAGCTAATTGGGCATTTAAATTTGTGAAACATCAACCTTACATTCTACAATATGAATAACATGGTTGTGAAGCCAGGGCACTGGATATTTCAATTTTGCTGTTCCAGATAATGGAATTGATTAACTCAATGTTTGCACTCTTCTTAAAACCGGGGAGTGACAGATTTTTTATAAATAAACTAAAATTTTTCCCCAATTTCCAGCCCGGGGGTTTCAAAAGGGGCTTTCGGAATTTTTTTTACTAAAATTTAATGGACTTTGGGGCTGTTTTCCCCCTTTAAAAACCCAAACCTCCATATAAAATTAATCTTGACCTCTTTTCCAAAATAGCATTAAAGTTTGAAAAAATTTTGGTTTCATTTTTTTTCAGGCCCGAATGCTCTTTTTTTATAAGTTGAAAACTTTCTGTAGTCCTTATTTTCTTTAAAAAACAAGCAAACTTTAAAGACAAAAATAATGTTTGAAACTGTTTAAAATTTAAGGTTTTTTAAAGGGCCCTCAAATACAATTTTCTGTTTTAAATAAAAACATTTTAAAGTTCATCAAATTTAAAATTAATCAGTAAAAATTTTTTTATCTAAAAATTTAAAAATCAAAGAACCCCTTAACCGTTCCTTTCATCAAAAACCTAATCCCACAAGCCCTTTTCCCAAAAGGAAAAAAATTTCCGTGGAATTGTGAAAATTTTAAAAAGGTTTTTTGGGTTTAGGCGGCCCCTTTCCTGGGAAAAGGGGGAACCCTTTACCAGAACAAAGAAATTTTAAAACCGGGTTCTTTGGGAAAAAATTTTTTGATTTCCAAACATAAATAATTCAACCATACATCCCCTTTTTTCCCCTGCCCATTGGTCTTTTTTGACTTTTGGCTTATTTACCATTTTAAAAGAACAAAAAAACCCAAAACTTTCAATTAGAGTAAACTTTTTCAGCAAAACTTTCCCCCAAAACCAAGGAGGGTTCCCCTTCCCCCCTTTGTGATAAAATTTAATTGTTAAAAAAAAAATGCCCTGGGGTGAAAAAAACTAACCCCCTTTTTTGTCAACGTTTGGCCCCTCTGTTTAAAATTCCCATAAAGAAATTCTGTTGGTGTTGCCCAAAAATTCTTTAAAGGGACAATATGTAGGATAAAATTTTCTGAAAAAAAAAAGCTATAAAAACGGGTAAAATTAAATTTGGTTTTTCTTTAGAATGGGAACTTCTTCCAAGAAATTTTAAGGGAAAGTGAACAAAGAAATTAAATTTAAATTTCATGTTTTTCTCTGACCAAATTTCCCATGTATCTTTAAAATTACATAATTAAAAAGACTAAAAAAAGAGGTAAAACCCAAATTTTTGATGGTCACTTTACAAAAAACCAAATTCTTTGCCAAAATTTTAAATTTCACTTCACAGGTTTAATTGCCCAAATCGGGTTGCCCCCGTGATTGGCCCCTCTTTTTATTTTCATTCAAAAATCCCTTCTATTCCCCTTATTTAAAAAATTTCCAAAGGGTGGGGGGTTTTTTTTCAAAACCTACTTAACTTATGAAAAACCCCTTCAGCCGTCAGTATTATCATCTCCACAGCTTTAGGATAGGGGCATGTACACAAGCTATTTTTGTCAGGAATCCCTCGAACAAACCATTATGCAAAATGGGCAGATGGAAATCAAAATGCCTTTAAAAGATACATCAGACTAGCTAATGTAAGAAATCCTGTTTCTTGATCAAAAAAATCCTATCTGCTGCCTTACCCATATTTAAATGCCTTTCTGTGTCATTGGGGTTGTGTGACACAAACATGGGTGTTTCATTTTATGTCTATTTGCTTTCCTTTGTGTCATTGGGGTGTGCACACAACCATATTATTTCTTATTCTAATATTGTGCAATTACTTTTTTGTGTCATCGGGGTGTGATGCAAAATAAAATGACAGTTTCTGTTCATGTATATATATATGACTTTGTGTGTCATTGGGGTGTGACACGATCATATTAATCTTATTCTAGTATTGTGTAATTACTCTTTTTGTGTCATCGGGGTGTGATACAAACAAATAACGTTGCTTTTATTCATGTACAAACGCCTTTGTGTGTCATTAGTGTGATTCAATTAAAGGGACTTGGTTTTACTCCGTATGTGCATTTTGTGTCATTGGGCAAACACAAATAAGTGACAATTGTTTTGTTAATATGTATTTGCTTATTGTGTCATTGGGGTGTGACACAATTATCTTGATGCTGGTTTTTGTAACATTTTCTAATTATTTACAACTATATACATACTCAAAATATTGCTAGTCAAAATGAAATCCATTTGCAATGCTTCTTCAATTGCTCCTTATTGAGCCTAAGATCTGTACTTTTGTATTTATTTTATTGCTTTTTATATTTATGTATTGTAAATTTTTACTATCATAACTAGTCAACATAATTCTAGTCTGACAATTTGTCTCACTATTATTCCAGTAAATAAAATCACAATATTTTTGTCTAACATCGCTTTAATAAGCCTCATAATAATTTATCTAGTCGAAAGTGTTTTAATAATAGACCTGCTAGTGGCAGGGTCTACCCCTGTTAACTTCTATATTGTAAGTTTTTTACTTTCAAGCACTTTGCTCATGTGACAAGTTTACCCTTAAAAATAATACAGTTGTTAATACCCATTTTGTTGTAAATAGCTTTGTTATAACTGTAAATATTTTACTTTCTCATGTTACTTATACATATATATATATATAAATTAGTTACACTTTATGACTACATATATGTAACCTGATAGGAATTCCAAATTGTTCCACATTAGTGTTATCTACTATGATTTTGCTTGATTATTCTCATGTAGAATTGTTATATACTTTCTCTAGAACTTTGCTGTAACATATATTTGTTTTTTTTTGGTGGTTTGGGAAAGTGGTAGGCATCTATACAATTTAAATTTCTTTGTCGTCTAAATTTGCGCCTGTCAAGTCTCTTTGGTTGGACCAGTGGTGGACGAATTGCTGTCCAACTTTATGTCATGTTTTTTTACTTATATAAGCTTTATATGCCCTTTCTTTTCTTGTTTTTTTAAATAAAACAGTCCAGTGCCCTCTGGGCCTGGACATTTTCATCCAATTTGGTATTTGTTCTATTTTATCTTGACATAAATAAACTGCTGAGTCTTGCCAGGTGCAAACATAAAAATTATACTTTATATAGTGGAACAGTATAAAAGTGATTTATGTTTGTACAGTTTCATCTTATTTTACATCTTAGCACATTTAAGGCATTTCTGGTGTTTTTAAACACTTTTCGGTGTAATTCTATCTTTCGGATCATAGAAAATTTTCACCACTAGGTGTCGCACGCAAAATTGTTATCTGAAAATTGTTTCACTCTACCGCCACCACCCCACCACAACTCCTTGCCTAGTTTTAATATTGTTTGTTTTACTACATGTTACTTTTATATGTACAGGACGAATTGCTGTCCAACTTTTATGTCATGTTTTTTACTTATATAAGCTTTATATGCCTTTCTTTCTTGTTTTTTAAATAAACAGTCCAGTGCCCTCTGGGCCTGGACATTTTCATCCAATTTGGTATTTGTTCTATTTTATCTTGACATAAATAAACTGCTGAGTCTTGCCAGGTGCAAACATAAAGTAAATTAAAGTAGAATTTATGGAATAAATAATAATATTTTAGAAAATAATCAGTAAACTAAAGTAAAACAAAACGG